AGCGAGGCTGAGCGCACCNGCTGTTGCCAGCGGCTGCAGCAGCCCCTGAACTGAAGATGAGTAGTCCACTCGCACCGTTGGCGCTGCCAGCGTTCATGGAAGCGACCCGAAGTACACCGCTTGTTGCTGCAGTACCTTCCCCAACAGCAAGACAAAGACGACCACCCGTCTTCATGGTTGTGCAACCAGCCTGAAGCAGCACACTACCACCTTCCCCACTGGTGCCACTCCCAACAGTAAAAACACTACAACCACCACGACCCATCCTGGCGACCCCCGAGCCAACAACGATCTTGCCACTATTGCCGCCTGCAGTGGTCCCAGAGCTGAATGATAAGCGACCACTGGAGCCTCCAGGGCCCGCATTTGCGCTCAGAAGCACAACGCTACCGCTACTCGTCACAGTGCCCTCACCACCGCATAATCTGACAGCACCACCCGTATCTGAGGTACTTCTTCCTGCCTGGCACTGAATAGCGCCACCAAAGCCACTGCTGCCGCTACCAGCACTAACAGCAACAGCACCTCCTCGTCCAGTAGATGAGGCCCGGCTGCCGACTCGGACCTCACCAGCGTTCCCCGTGCTTGCTGTTCCACTGCTAAACGCAAGACGACCAGAAGCGCCATCAGTACCACCATTTTCCGTGCGCAAAACGAATGAGCCGCTACTTGACACGGTTCCTTCTGCAACGCCGAGGCCCACAGTTCCGCCGGTGGAAATGGCGCTCCTACCTGAAGCAACTCGAAGAGCACCCCCCACACCAGATGTTCCACTACCGGCAGCGAGGCGCACCGCACCGCCTTTACCACCCGTGGTCGAATGCGTTCCAAGAGTGACACGGCCCGAGTTCCCGCTCCGTGCTGTGCCAGACGAAAAAACAAGATAGCCGCTGGCACCAGAGCCTCCGGACGCCGCCCATGATTGGACACGAACATCACCGCTGCTGGAAGTGGTGCCCTCGCCTGCTCGTGCAGAGACACACCCACCTGTTCGTTCTATACTACGTCCCGACTGGATACGCGCACGCCCGCCAGATCCCGTGCCTCCACCGGCAGATACAGTTATCCTGCCACCTCGACCAGAATGTGCTGGTCCGGACCCCAGGAGCACACAACCCGAATTACTGCGGCCTGAGGATCCGGTGCTGAAAGCAAGGCGTCCACTCGCGCCCGCGCTGCCTCCATTTGCTGATCGCACGTACACAATGCCACTGCTGGTCGCTGTACCCTCACTCGATGAGGCCGCCACAGCACCACCTGTTCGACACATGCCACGACCTGCTACCGCGGATATCGCACCACCAGCTCCAGACGTCCCACTGCCAGATGAGACTACCATGCACCCTCCACGTCCAGCTGTTGTCACTCCGGAACCAAGGCCAGCGACGCCAGTATTACCAAATTTTGTGTTCCCGGAACTAAAACAAAGACAGCCCGACGCTGCATGGGAAATTCCTGCGTTGCCACTGCGTAAGAGAATAGTCCCACTAGTCGCCGCAACACCTTCACCAGATGGAAGGGACATCTCACCACCAGTGCACACTGCACTCCGGCCACCACGCAACAAAACCAAACCTCCAGCACCGCTTCCGCCTTCACCGACAACAAAGCTAAGAAAGCCCCCCCCCCCCCCGGTCGCGGCACCAGTCCCCAGGCATGTGTCACCAGCGTTGCCAGCGAGAGCTGAACCAGAGCTGAAAACAAGACGGCCACTAGAACCCGCATCGCCTCCGTTGGCTGTACACACCATGATTGTCCCCGAACTCGCCATGACGCCACAGCCAGTAGAAATACTTGCTATGCCACCGGTCTTTTCTGCCCGTGCGACACGACCTGCGCCAATAGCAACTGCCCCACCCCGGCCGCTTGCACCACTACCGATAGCAAAGCGTGCAGAACCAGCACCACCTGCGGTTGCTGTCCCTGAACCCAGACAAACTGTCCCAGAGTTGCTTGTCGTCGCTGTTCCAGAACTGAATGATAGGCGGCCACTTGATCCTGATTGGCCACCGTTTGCGCCGAGGGCGGAAACACTTCCACTGCTTGAAGCGGTACCTTCACCGGCAATGATCACAAGAGCTCCACCCCTTCGAATATTGGCCCGGCCCGCCGAGGCCATGCTCCCTCCTCCTGATCCACTGGCACCAATGCCCGCAAATATGCGCAACAAACCACCGGAACCACTTGTGGTCGCGCCTGTGCCCAGAAGCAATACTCCTGTGTTTCCTTTACATGCTGATCCCGCACTAAAAATAAGGCGTCCACTTGCTCCAGTGTGGCCAGAATTCGCCCCGCGTATGAATACAACGCCTGAACTTGAGGCACCACAACCTCCTGCAGAGATGGCGGCGAAACCTCCCGTGGATGTCGTAGTGCGCCCAGCTATTGCTGCTAGGTCACCAGCTCTTCCACTCATTCCACTGCCAACGATCGCTTGAAGTGTGCCACTCGAACCCCCAGTGCCCCCCCCCGACCCCAGCCGCAGAGCTCCACTGTTACCACGACGTGCAGTACCTGTGCTAAAGAGAAGACGCCCACTTACTCCGGCGCCACCTGCATTAGCAGCACGCATCGCGATTGTCCCCGTCGATGCTGACGCACCAGATGTAGCAGCCACGGCCGCAGCACCGCCCGTACGGCTGCAACTACGCCCAGCACGGAGTGCGAGTGTCCCACCGGTGCCGCTTGCACCAACGCCGGCAGCAAATGTCACTAAGCCACCACAGCCACCAGTAGCTGTACCAGACCCAACCCGCAAAGCTCCAGAATTGCCACCGTAGCTCGTGCCACTACTGAAAGTTAACGCCCCACTAACCCCGACGCACCCACTGTTGGCGCTGCGCAGGTGACATACACCTGACGTCGTAGCAGCAGCACCTCCGGCAGCGAGACACAACACGCCACCTGAGCGAGAAGCTGAACGACCGGAGAAGGCGGCACAGCTACATGCAACCCCACTCTGTCCGCTGCCAACGCTGAGGTGTGTAGCACCGCCACAGCCTGTTGAAACTGCACCAGTACCAAGATTGAGAGAGCCGGTGTTTCCAGCATAGGCAGAACCCGAACTGAAGCAAAGGCGCGCGCTTGCACCATGGCACCCACTACCGTTGGATGTCATGATGACAAGACTGCCAGTTGTGGCCAAACCCGAGCTCGCGCCTTGGAGAATCAACGCGCCGCCAGAAGCTGTGGTGCTTCGACCCGCTCTCGCAGCAGCACCACCACCATTGCCAGATGTACCGCTACCGACCGTCATGCGCACAGCACCCCCCCTGCCCCCAGTTGAGGCGCCAGAACCGACCGAACACGAACCCGAGTTTCCGCGTGAAGCTGTACCAGCACTGAAGGTCATGCATCCGGAGACCCCTGTGTTGCCACTGTTCACCGCGACAATGCGTAGAATACCACTCGTACGGGCGGTTCCTTCTCCCGACACAATGAGTATGGCACCGCCGGTCTGGCTGCGACCACGGCCAGCTATGCTAGCCGCCTGCCCCCCTTGCCCGCTGGTGCCACTGCCAGCCGCCAATCGCATGGAGCCTGCGCGACCTCCAGTAGCGGCGCCCGACCCTACCTTGACAGCGCCTGCATTTGCATCAGCAGCAGAGCCTGAACTGAAAACAAGCGCCGCCGATGAACCTCGCAGTCCAGCATTGGGAATGGCCACTCGAATGAAACCACTTGTTGAAATAGCACCCTCGCCAGCTGTGATAGCAAGACATCCACCGGTTCCACTGCAGGCCCGACCAGCCACAGCACGAACCACACCGCCTGTGCTCACGCCTGCCCCAACAAATGCAATCACAGCACCACCGCGTCCACCTGTGGCCGCCCCTGTTCCGTACACAAGTTCTCCCGAGTTACCCAGTGAAGTTGTACCAGAGCTGAAGCGCAAACCTCCACTAGCACCACGTGCTCCGGCATTTGCAGTGCGCACGCGTACTGAACCGGAAGAAGATGCAGCGCCGCCTGCCGCACCGAGGCGAGTGCGGCCACCCGTGTGCTCGTCACTCCGACCCGCTCGAACGGTGACATTGCCACCGCGACCAGAGGTTCCGTCCCCTGCGCTGAGGGCCAATGCGCCACCACGGCCGCCTCGCGCTCCACCAGACCCTAGGTAAATACGACCAGCGTTGCCACAGGTAGCGCCACCAGTTCGCGTGTTCAAAAAACCAGAACGCCCCGACGAATCAGCGCTCGCAGCTGTCGCAAGGGCGATATCCCCAGAAGAGCTGGCGTCGCCCCAGCCACTCCGCAGCTCTATTGAACCACCAGATGCCGAAGCGCCACTACCAGCAACTATGGTCCCAGTGCCACCATGGGTGGCTGCGCCTGAAGTAACAGTTACGACACCACCACCGTGACAGAAGTCTTCGTCAGCAGCTAGGGTACTTCCAGCTTCTATCACAGCACCCCCGCCCACTCCAGAGCTACCTTCGCCAACGTCACAGCACATTGACCCTCCACCACCCGAAGCTGCGTTCCCACTTGCAAACGAAAGTGCCCCGGAATTACCACGAGATGCGGTACCAGATGCAAGTATGAGCCAGCCTGATGCTCCGCCCGTACCACCATCTGCCGTGTGAACAATGATACCCCCAGATGTCGAGGTGATACCTAGGCCACCATAAAGACGCACGGCACCGCCGGAGTCTGTCCGACCACAACCTGCGTGGCATAGAGCACTACCACCTGCGCCAAACGCGGACGCACGACTCCGCCCTGCTGCAAGAACGACAGAGCCGCCAGCAGTAGCATCATTTGCGGATCCACCAGCGCGCACTGCAGCATTCCCGCCATCGCCACTGTCACCAATACCAACAGATGCGACACAGCGCCCACCACTGCCACCTACTGTCGACCCAGAGCCAAGGCGAAGTGCACCAGAGTCACCAAGACTCGTGGTACCCGTCGCAAGCAGGTGTGAGCCACTGACGCCCCGGAACCCGGCATTTTGTGTGAGAACTAGAATGCGACCCGCCTGTGCTCCCCCATCCATGCGTCCGGAGCCAGATACGAGTCCCACATCTCCACCGATTGTTGATTTACCAGTCACAAACGATGAGCGAAGGAGTGATTCGCCGACCTTGAGTGTCACGTCACCACCTACCATTCGTAAAATTAAATAGATCTAATTACTCATTTGTGGTTGAACGGCGAACATTGACAGTCAACGCGGGGGGCACGCCGGACCCCGAAACGGCTGTCCCGGTCATCAACCTCAGAAATCCACTGCTTCCGGCGCTTGTTGACCCCGTCGTGAGCGTCACAGAGCCACTCCGCCCGATATCAGAGCCCGATGCTGCAGTTGCCATGGCGAGGCTCCCGCTGTTACGATCAACACCTCGTCCGGTTGCAATGCAAACACTTCCACCTGCATCTCGAGCTGAGCCGCCAGCGTCGATTGAAACCCGGCCAGCCGAGTCTGATAAGCGTGCTGATCCTACAAACAAACGGCACGAGCCACCACCCCCATCTTCGGCAGCGCCCGTTCCTAGATACAGGGACCTATACTCAAAAGTTTCAATTTCACATGATTATAAATCAGCTTTGACGCACCCTGCATCTCCAGTTATAGTCGTGCCGGTTACAAGATCAAGGGCCCCACTTTCTCCCTCGCTGCCTGCGTCTGATGTGCGTAGCACCAGGCTTCCACTTCCCGACGAGGTCCCCGGACCCGTAGTAATATTTACCTAAAGACGAAGCGATCAGTAGTACAAGTCACACCCCCTCGGCCATCGCATGCACATTACTAGGACACTGCACAATGGACATCACCACCAGGGTAGCCCGGCCCCGCCACAAAGGTCAAGGCACCACCCCGGTCCCGGTCGCCACCAGACGGACAGCAAAAGTTGATCTCGCCACCACCAGCTCGAGTGCGTGCGGAGGAGTCACCCGCAGCTATGAGCACGTCACCGCCAGCATCGCCATGCGCAGTACCCACGTTCACTACCAACCCACCGCCTGTCGCACCATCACCATTACCGGACTGCAACAAAACTGCGCCCGAGTTGCCATCTGATGATGTTCCTGAACCAAATTGCAACGTACCAGAAGCGCCTGTTCCTGTCGCTGTTTGTGAAGCAAGACGCACGGGCCCTGAGGCGTCACCTCCACCACCTCTCAAGGTAAGCTTGCCGCCAGTTTGAGCTGTCGCCGTCCCACCCGAGATCAAAGCAGTTCCTCCGGAAACACGTGAATCACCCAGACTGGCAGCCCCTGACAAAGAATCGCCTGCCTGGATGAGAACAGCACCAGCAGTGTCACCGCGGGCTGCTCCAGCAACGATGTATGCCGCCCCGCCGTCGCCTTCCTCGCCCAGTCCAACGGCTGCTATGATGCCTCCAGCCGAGCCTCCATGGCCCGCACCGCTCCTAAGCATAGAAGCACCGCCGCGCTCACCTTGACCTGCCAATGAGACTACACTACCAGGATCTGAACGACGACTGACAGTCCCAGTGGAACCGACATAAGCTGCACCACCACCTTTGCCTCCCGCCAAAAAAATGGAACCACCCTGCGAGTTCGCTGGGGCACCAGTGCAAAGACTCACAGCACCTGATGATGAGACAGACTGAGCATCCGTCGGGTCTACTGACCCAGTGCCTAGAACTGTAAGACCACTACCCCCGTTAGCTGCCGCAGCTGTTCGCAACAGAAGGGCCCCACTTGCAGTATCCTTCGCACCAAGGCCAGATACGAGATTTGACATGCCGCCGAGAAGCTTGCCAGCACCGGCTGTCAACACCACGCTGCCGCCGTCTGCACCAGCATCACCAAGACAGACGCTCGTACAACTGCTCGACCCCGCACCCAATTCAAATGCCCCGCCGCAACTTCCACCGGACGTGGCGTCACCTGCGGTTGCCATGATCAGACCGTGGCCTTCAGCTCCGTTGGACCAATTTCGCCCAAGAAGGACAGAACCTGCACAGCCACCAGCAGTATTTCCGGTCGCCACAGTAACGAGCCCAGACGATGCCCCGCCTCCAGTCCCCAATATGACCCCACTGCCCGCCGCGGCCTCCGCAGAGATTCCGCTACTAGCTCCACGGCTGCTCGAACCAGTGGCCACGCAAATGGCCCCGCCATTACATGCGTGACCATCACCACTCATAAGCCGAGCCGCGCCACCTGTACCTGCGTCGGCCACGCCCGCAGTCATGTTTACCAGTCCACCACCCTCCGCTGAAGTCCCCCCCCCCTCAATCAGTACCCCCCCTCCAGGACCTCCACTACTGCCTGCTTTGCATATAACTACGCCACCACCAAGGTCACCGTCGCCACCGCAAACCTGGAGTTCCCCACCTGAGCTGCTGAGACCGGCCATAAAGCGCAATCCCCCTCCATGTTCCGACAGACCGGCCTCGACAACGATGGCCGCACCAACTCGACCTGCCTGCCCAGCAATTATTTCCATCGAGCCACCCGATCCAAAGGACGAGGCACCCGTACTGATGAGACCTGGCCCGGTGGAACCAATAGTCGTTGCGCTGCCAGTCTCCATGCAACAATGACCGGAGGCTCCACTGCAGCCACTCGCACCAGATGTCATGATCGAGAGACGACCGCTCCGCAACCCACGGTCTCGACCCGTGGCAAGGGTGATGTGCCCACCGGAAGCCCCACCTGCAGCAGCAATCGAGATTCTACCACCAGACTTCGATCCTCTACCCGCAGTGAGTTCTACTGTGGCACCAGTAGAATCCACCGGACTCATGCCGACAGAAACATGGGCGTTACCACCATACGACGAAGCGAATGAACCGCCTGAAGATAATTCAACCTCTCCACCTCCGCGTTGTCCCGCGCCTGTGGCAATCGTACCGTGGCCTGAACACCCGCTGGTTGAATGCCCAGTCAAAATTGAGGTGCTCCCACCATTATTCCCAGTTGCCGCATTCACCAAGACGCCCCCCCCTGGTCCAGCTGCCAGAGCGAGCGCTCCTCCACTGAACGATGAGCCGCCACCACTAAACTGTGAACAGCCCCCACCCATGCCAGCTTGGTACATCCCGCTTGCACCCGGGCCCGTCTGTGCACGGCCTGTGATGGCGAGTAGGCGGCCACCATCTCCTTGCTCAGACCCAGACCCGGATCCAGCAGCTCCAGCGACCCCACCTCCAAGTGAAATGCCGACCCCAGCGTTCAGAGCAATGTGCCCCCCGCGGTCGCCGAGGCCGGCGCTCAATGCCATCAGCCCACCGTAGGTACCAGCCCCAGATCCGATACCTAGCTTGCCACCTTCAGTACCACTCCCGGCGCATACACTAACTGCAGAACCCCCACTTCCACAGCCGACGTGAAGAGTGGCATCACCAGATGCCACGCCACACTTGGCAATGCTTCCGGTGGCAAGTTGCACTTTTCCAGCGATTGCTTCGCCACATGCCCCGGCCGTTGTTAATAGGGATTCTCCACTTGTCCCTCCTGGGCCACTAGACACGGAAGTCGTACCGCCCACCGATCTTGAAATACCCGCAGACACGCTCACCAAGCCGCCAGCGCCATGCCCATCACCTCCTGATGCTGCCAGGCACCCACCGTTCGATGCCACCCCTGCCGACATAATAACACTGCCACCCGCTCCAACCGCTTGCCCGGGGGAAGCTTGTACAGAGCCAGTTGCCCCGCCTGCCGACGTGCCTGACGTCATCACCACGCTGCCACTGGCACCCGTACGGCTAGTAGCACTCGCCAAGATCACGGGCCGACTGCGAAGTGCGCAGGCAGTCTGTACCCTACATGGGCCTCCGTAGACTTGGCCTACACCAGCTCTGACACAAATATCGCCGCCAACTCCAGCCGTGGCAGTGCCAGCGATGATGTTGAGATCTCCACCTTGATACTCTGCCGAGCCACCACCGATCGAGGTGTTCCCCCCCACGCTCAAGAATGAGAACCCAGCGCAAAGACGCGCGTCACCGCCAACGTTACCTGTCGAGGTGCCAGCACCAAGAATTTCCTTGTTCTTCACAGCCGCTGCACAACCACCTGCGATGCAACCATTGCCACCGCCGTAGCCAGAACCCGCAATGGCAGAGATGACACCACCTAGAGCCGCTGTATTACGATCTGCAACAGCTCCGCCATCCCCACCCGCATTAACGAGCATCGATCCTGTACACCCCGTACAACTATCCCCGACTAGGAACTCGACCCCCCCCCCCGACCCAGCTAGTGTCGATCCAGAGGTCATACTGACGGCGCCTGAATCCGTGATCGCACGATCCCCACTGCGGAGAGCAAGCTCGCCTCCATCCGAGAATGCGCCTGCGGCACTCACCACAACATCGGCACGTTGCAAGGAACCGGCTGTTCTACCTGCCCGCACGAGCATATTGCCACCACATGTTTGCCCCGCACCAGAAACAAGCGAGACCTCTCCACCAGCGCCGCCGCCGGCCGAGTTGGAGCCGGCGAACAAGCTTGCGGCCGCCCCAGTCCCTGCGTGTGAGTTGCATGTCATCCCAACCGTGGCTCCCAGAGTAACAGCCCCCCCATCGCAGATAGTCGAGGTACCAGACGCCAGAGTAGTAGTGCGAGCTTCTCCACTTGTCGAACCAGACATCATGCTCACTGTGCCCGTGGCTGCGGCCGCGCCTGTTGAAATACTCTCATTTCCAGAAGTTACAGCCTCCGGCGTAGTCAAAAATAGTATTCCACTCAACCCCCCAGTGCCGCATCCGGATCTAAGCAGAACCCCACCCGCCTGGCGCGAGTTGGCAAATTCTGATACACCGCCACCGCGTATAATCTCATCACCCCCGACAGCAGCCGCACCCATCGTGCCCCCTCCGGATAGCGCAACGACGCCACCGTGCAAATCGCTGTCACCGGCACTCAAAAGGGCCGCTCCACCCGCCACATTAGCTGAGTTGGCCCCGATCCTTGTACGCCCCACAGTTTGGCCATCAGCAGAGTTCTTTAGATAGACAGCCCCACCGCACGCAACGGCTCCTGAAACGAGCTCAACGCTACCAGCCCCTCCACTCGCCGCATCTGCAGTTCCCGCCATTATCGAAATTGCCCCACCACTACCAGCTGCGGGACTCTTGGCAGAAATGCAGATTTGACCTGTCATGCGATTCGCGTGCCCTGTCTCAAAAGTGACAGCACCTGATCTGCTAGCCCGAGCCATACCAGTCTCGAGGCCTAACGGCCCCGTGTCTCCCAGTACGTTACAAGGGCTCGATACAACAATTTGACCAGCATTGCTTGATGCTCCCGATGCACCCACGAGGGTGACGGTACCCCCAGTTGCGACCATCCCAGCACCAGCTACAAGGTCTATTTGGCCGCCGTCTCCGCCCCGCCCCGCCAGAAATGTGGACGTTCCCCCCTGAACCATGTTGGTGACTGCGCTACTACCTGCGATGAGAGTGATGCTCCCTGTCCCTGCCCCACGGTCACTAGTACCTCTACCAGCGCTGATGACAATCTCGCCTGTAGTTGGCCCTGATCCAACCCGCATGTTGATGAGACCTGATCTACCAGAAGATGCAATACCGGCCGAGCGCAATAGTACGGAACCGGAGACTGACGATGCCCGAGCGGAGAGCACTCCCAAGGACCCTGTCCCAACAGAACCACCGCCGCTTTTTAGCTTTATAGCTGCACCGACGCCACACCTGGCACTGCCAGCAAAAATACCCAGACTGCCCCCAGACATACCACCTTTACCCGCTACCATTCTCAATGCCCCCCCGATGTCTGCCGAAGCACCGGTGGTAAAGACGACCGTACCATCAGCTGATGCGCCAAATGAGATGTTACCTGAGAGCAAGGTACTACTGCCGCCTCGAAGCTGAACTCCCCCGCCGCCTTCCTGTCCATCGCCACCGCACATAGTTATGCCACCACCTGCATCGACTGCAGCTGCCGCCTGCACTACAAAATTACCAGCGTGGCCCTTTCTCGTCGCACCTGCAAGCGCCCCAACAGCGCCAGCGGTGAACGCGGCGGTGCCCGACGCAAGGTGCACAATACCGGCCGTTGCCTCGGATAAGCCTGTTGCTAGCCGGACATCTCCAGTGTCCACCATCATCACAGGAGTAATCAGAACAACATCCGCGCTGGTGTCGGAAATTAGCGTCGCGCCCCCGCCGAGTTGCGTCCCATTCCCAGCCCGAATAGCTAGACTACCGCCCACCCCACCTCCATTACCGCCGTGGAATACCACAGAACCACCCTCTGATGAAGCATCTGCACTCCCGGAATTGATTGCTAGCCCACCTGGCACAGCACCAATCCCGCTAATTAATGAAACGGCTGCAGCTTTGTTACCGGAGGAGCCTGATTCAAGCGAAAGAGCGCCCCCATCGAAAGAACCTATCGAAATAGGACTAGAACCGATCTTGTCTCGCCCACGCGTGTCGAGTGTCACACACTCCCTCGCTGACGCAGCTAGTCCAGCCGCGGCGCTCACTAATGTGGTACCACCAGCACCATCACCCACATCGCGAGGGCCAATAATCGCCGTGCCCAGCACCGGCGCAATGAAACGAATGGCGCTCCTATCCGATTGACCATTTGCCACGATGCGTGCGTCCCCACTCGTTTCCATCCCAGCACCTGCTACTACCGTAGTTTCACCACCATGCTCGCCCGGTCCCCCGCTCAGGAAAATGGCACCTCCATCGCTCCCCAGAGCGCCTGCAAATGCAATGGCGCCAACAGAGTCTGCAATCCCAGATTGTAACTTGCAAGAACCACTGTTATGTTCGGTGGAACCCGACACCAGGCGAATATGACCCGAGTTCCCGCTTGTGGAATTTCCCGAGGCGACAGAGACGGCACCAGAACTAATTCCCGTGCTGGTCTGAGCAGCAATATGCCTCCCGTTGTAATTAGATGTAAAACATTCGTGCTTCGCCTGGACAGCAGCAATCAAATCGAGAATAAGACCCTGTTTGTCAACCTTGTACATGTTCTCTAGTGCAAACTCGCCATCTTTGTAGCTGGAAATATCAACACGAGCATCGAAAGGAGCGATACGCTTTAGCTCCTGTGCGATGACACCGCGTACCGGGGCATCCGAGTCAATGCCTCGAAGTGCGGCCCACGCCTCGGTGTATTTATAGCTCGCGAGGCGCAAGTCGACAAAACCTTGATACACGGCTGAAGTATCCACATCGTACCTGTATTTTGAGTGTTCTAAATATCAATTAGAGTTGGATCATACACGCGTACAAAAAAATCAAGAGCAAACCTCACACCAATCCGGAATTGATCAAGACGCTGACAACTGACGAAATGTCGCGTTTGATGCGATAATCTGAGGAGTAAGTAGCACTTGTCATTCGTAAAGGAAGGCAAGCAACTGCAGAGGGCAGAGTATCGTCTGCACGGAGGGCGAAATCAGTCCCGGCCGTTTCGTCGCTCACTCCCATGGCGACTTTCCCGTCGCCAGAATCTCGACTAAATGTCGTTCGACGTGTTGATCGCGAAACGACACTGCGCACACGCGACCTGATTATGTCGTCGTCAACGCAGAACGACAGCGTGTCTGTTTGGAGCGTTAGAGCACCAGAGCCACGCCCAGTGCCGGATTGGACACCGACATCGCCGCCAACATGACCATCACCAGCGCAGACGTCCATGGCTCCAACAGAGCCGGGTGCGCCTACATTGAACGATAACTCCCCTCCCAAAGCTCTGCATGAATGTCCCGCTTCCATTGACACGTCACCGCATGTCCCATGGAAGCCGCTCCCGGAAATTAAACGCAGTGAACCTGATGACGTGCCGTTTCCACTCGAAAGAATACATGCGCCACCACCAAGGCCACCGGACCCAGCGAGCGCAGCGAGCTTTCCACCTGCGCCAGAGCCAGACGTGCCAGGACAAATTTCTAATGCAGGTTTGTGTGGCGAGGTTACACCCGAAGACAAGGTGACCCTGCCTGAAGACTCAGAGACCGAAGCACCACTGGACATGCGCACATCTCCGCTGGCGGGGCCATCGCTGCTGCAAAGGAATACCTGGCCACTCGAGCCCGCGGTACTCGCGCCAGAAGACACGATTATGTCTCCTCCAGATGCCTCGCCGCCCTCGCCCGCAACGACCTGCACCCCACCACCCTGGCAGCCGGCCCCGGCCACGCAGCCAACGCCCCCTCCGGTTGCCAAGCTGTCCTCTTGAGAGGAACCGGCGACGATCCCGACTGCTCCTCCATCAGCATCATGCGATGTACCAGCTCTAAAGCCAACCCCGCCCGTCTCCTCACCCGCGCCGCTTCCAACAAAGACAGCCCCGCTCGATACCCTCGCAGATTCGGACGATATCAAAATGCTGCCGCCATCTCCAGAGCCGCTGCTAGTTCCAGTGCACAGGCTCGCAGCGCCACTGTTTTGACGGCGCCCACCGCTCAGTATGTCAGTCCTACCGCCCTTGGCCTCGTTGCTCAGGCCTCCGCGAGCCTCTAATCCACCCGCAAAGCGGCAAGCGTCGCCCCCAGATGCTGTAATCGACCCACCTGACCTGACGGCATCCGCCGCAGCAAGCAGCTCGAGGTTCCCAGCGCCAACTCCTCCACTTGCACCTTCAAGAGCAACACGTCCGCCAACACATCCATCACCACCCGTCAGCGTCGCACCACTCCCAACACCACGCGACTCAGTACTCTTCCTTGGAGCGAGGATCACATCACCGCCCTCATCAGCATGGCTTGTGCCGGATACGATGGCACACATGCTGGACTCGTCCACTGATCTACCGGTGGAGATGCAGATCGGACCTGTATCTCCAGATCTGGCTCTGCTACTAGCCATGCACAAGTCACCGCTCACACTCTCGTCCCTTGCAACCACGCCATCACTTGAAACATCAATGGCACCAGAGTCACGGTACGTTCCACAGCCGCTACGGATCAAAACAGCGCTGCCAATATCAGCCCCGACTCCGCCAGAGAGCGCGATGCTCCCGCCTCGACCGTCATCGCTGCGAACCGCACCGCCGTCGATCGCCACACTCCCACCGAAGGCCTCCGCTGCCCCATCGCCACCGTTTAAGGAAAGTGAGCCACCTTCGCGTCCAGTCCCGGCACGGGTGCTAATCTCACCAACGGTCCCGTCTGAACGTTCTGTATCCAACAGCAACGCACCCGAAGAACCCCCTCCCCCCCCTGTCGCGATGGCGACTGTCTGCTCTCCGTCTATGGCGACTTCTCCTCCCAACGATGACGTGCTCGTACCGCTCGCAATATCCAAATTGCCACCGGCCACTGATTTTCCAGACCCAGCAGATAAAATCAACCCCCCACCATCCCGCCCTACGCCGGCACTCAGCGATGTCATACCACCAACGGCGCCACGTCCAAGCGATTCACCAGCAGAGATCTCGGTATGACCACCAACTTGGGCTCCCCGCCCCGCTTCTTGCTCAAGCTCCCCGCCCTGTCCACGTGCCCCACTCGACCCAGACATAAATGTAGCATCACCGCCAAGGTGCTCCTGTGCAGCGCCAGCACCCAGGTCCATCTCGCCACCAGATCCACCAAATGATGAGCCTGCATGGATCGAGCTGCTCCCCGAAACGCGGTCCACGCCACCCACTGCCGCCATGAGGAGGACATGCCCGGACTCGCTCATCGATGTTGCGCCCGTTGCCATCCGAACATCCCCACTGTCGAAGGTGGTCGCACTCGCAATTGACGTGGCTCCACTTGATCCGGCTTCACTCTGACCGCTCTTCACTAGCAAGTTGCCTCCAGGAGCATCCATGCCAGTGCCACCCGCAACCCGGGCTGCTCCTCCTGCCAGGCACCCAGCGCCTCCTCTCAGCTTGGCGCTACCCCCTTGATCTGCAGGACTGCAGCACGAACCCGACTGCACTTCAATCGCACCAGCATCATCGGATGTGGAATAGCCGACTTCGATGGCGACCGACCCACTCTTACTATCTGCCTTGCCAGTCCTCAGTTCCAGCGATCCTCCATTGTCGTGATGAGCTTCGTTTCCTTTTTTTCTTATAGCGATCACTCCACTTTTACCGCCATCTGATGTTTTCATCTTGAGTAAGTTGTCGTGGACGTTTTTAGGACTTCCCCCCGTTGACACTCTGAAAGTCCCTCCCTGTCCACGCATACCAGAACCACTCCCCAACGTTACCTCTGCGCCAACAGACACACCAGATCCGCCCGCGAGTTTCACAACACCACCGCATGCATCGGCACTGCCTGCTGAAGCACACAGGGGCTGAGCTGCATTCCATGTAGAAAGGCCCGCTTTAAGTAGAAAAGGCCCACCAGTAAGACTTCGCTCTACAAAAATGCTAACCTCACCCCCAGTTTCGT